GGTACTGCATTAATCAGAGCCTTCAAATACCCTATGTAGAAAGAGGAGAGAGCACAGCACTCTGATGTTCTTTTTCTGAACAGACTTGTTTGTGGCCCTTAGCATGTTTCGGGAAGGAGCAAGTCTGGCTTTTACTTGTGACAAACCCATGCAAGCTCATGGAAGATCTATCTGCTTTTTCACTGCATAGACAGCACATAAATTGTGCAGCTGTGGCACAGAAATCAATCTGTTAAGATAACTATTGCTAATTATTCATCCTCTGGGAACAGGATGGCTTAAGATTTGGACTACAGAATAACAGAATACAGAGCTTTTCACCTCCTACATTACCGGACTTGTTGAATCAGAGCAGTGCCCAAAAGTCATTACCATCTGATGGCTGTGGGCTGGTGTGAAATGAGTTATTGGGCTTTATCCAGGTTCTAGTGGAGAAATTCCTGTCCAAATCACATAACTATGGCTACAGTTGGCAGGGGCTGGACTACTTATTGGCAGCTAGAGCAGAGAGCTTGAAGACTGAATGTACACTAAGAGATGGGCTCTCTAGATCAAATTTTTTTTGCACTACCATGAGTCAATGCAAAGCTTAAATCGGCAATTTTCCCTCTGTGTGTGAGGTACCACTGTCTACAGACCTCTCAAGCCAACATGAAACAGCATTATTTAAAACCAGGATGTAATTCATCCTGATGGTTACTTCACTGTGATTGTGGAGCAGGGATCTGGGATCACTTCGCTATCATTTAAAAAAATAGTAGCAAAACAAACTGCGAAACCATGAAATGGTTTGCCACACAAGAAAGTTAGTATTTAGATGTAAAAGCTTAGTGCTTATAGATTACCCTGAAGTCTAGGATGGATGGGAAGCAAAATGGAAGAATATGTCTAAGAAGGATTAGTTGTTGGCATGGAGGTTAGCAGGGGTTTAGACTAGACATTAGTCATTCTCATGGTCATCCAGGGTAATGCTTTCATTTTACAGCACTTTCTTTTCCTCAATTTCCTTCTCCTGGCTTCAGGATCTTTGTAGACATGCCTTTCAGTAAAGGAGCTCAGGTGAAGCAAAGCATGGAGAGATACACTAACACATTTGGAAAAAACCCAACAGTAGCATGCTGCTTCTGAGCACACAGTCCCTGTTCTCAGGTGGAGATTCGTAACAGAGGCCATCACATTGCAATTTGGAGTGGTCCCAGTCCTTAGAGGAAAATATTTCTCAGGAGCAGTACTCCAAGGAGACATGAAAGTCCTGGTGGCCACCTGCCTGTCTTTGTGGCGGAAGGTGCTTTGTACATGCTGGTGAATTTTAGTGGAAAAAGAGGGATAAGCTGAGAAAATCAACTAAATTTGATGCAGGTATACCAGTCCAAGGGTGACCTTCAGGCTCTCAACTGTTTTGATTAATTCCCTGATGCAGTCAGTAAGTTTCTCAGCAGACTACAATAACCTTATTTCTCATACGGTTTTTCTGCAGTTGTCCCAAGCTACGCTCAGTTCATCAGGGATGGGAAGCTGGCCATAAGCAGACTGCAACAGAATAGGCTACAGCAGAGAAGCAGCCAAATTTAAATAGCCCGAAATCCCTTGCTTTCAGGGCGCTTGGGCATGGCTCCTTAGGAGAGCTTTCAAAACCCAAAGGGCTTCTAATCCCTAGACAGAGCCAGGGCTGCATGACCAACATGTGCTTGTTACAGCAAAGGAGCAAATGCAAGAGGACTGTCTGTTCACCATCCTAAACTGTGCATTTCATACCTGGTATCAGGAGGAACTTGTTGCCAAACTGAAAAGCTCTTGGGGGTTTCCTCCTACGCGTTACATTTTGGGGAAAGGACTGCTGAAAATCTTTCTGCTCTGAAGTCAAGCAGATGAAGAAGTCAAAAGATCTTGTTGAAACTCAACTTTGGGTGGGAGAAGAAGAGTTCTTACATGTTCCACGGTCATCTGCTGGGTGAGACAGCTGAATTTCAGAGGCAAAAGATCTGCCTATCTTTTTAGCTAGCAGCCAGGAATTTAAGGCATAAAAGGAACAAGAGAATGGAATGAGTTTTTCTTTTTAGAAGATAGAAAAGGGCCTGGTTGAAAGTATCTTATTCCTATCTCCTTTAATTTTATTTGATTTAATGTATTCAGCACTAAACTGCAATGATATTACACTGCTTTTTACCCTAGGCATTAGCTGAAAACAAAATCCTAGGCTACATCCCTACTTCAAACTCTTGGAAAGTGTAAATCTGAATGACAGCCTATTTATCCTAAGTTTTCTAAAAACCAAACTACATCTGTAAATAGCCACCTGTGATGCTTTGATGATACTTCAGACTTCTGATTCTAATTCAGCAGCTCCTGCCTGTCTTATTTTAAGACTACAACCGGGTCTAGGGATGTAAGCTGTTGTTGTTTATAGCAAGTTCTGCAGAAGCTGTTCATGATCACATCCCTGATAAATGATGGGCACAGATTGCATTAGAGTATGACTGCCTTATACATTTGTTGAAAAAAGGGATGACCTACAGTTGTCTGTATTATGAGGAAGGTATTTAGTTGTCTAAATTTAAAATCTTCAGGCACTTTCAAATTTGTAATTAAACCTTCCTCTTTTTTTTTTTTTGTGCTAGGTGTAAAATGCTTTTGGTTTTGCACTCCTTGCTGAGGAAAGATCCCTGCTAAATCTGTAGATAGGTTGTAGAAAGAGCCATGGAAATGATACACAGAGCAAACTATTTCACTCAGTGGCCTCATGAGCTAGAAGTTCACTTTGTTTCCTCATGAGCTTGAAGTCTAAAAATCCTTGACAGGAATATTAATAGTTGAATATTCCCCATTCAATGGTAACAAAGTAATACAGACAAAAATTGCTGATTGAAAGAGAATTTACTTAATCTCTAATCCTGTGACCCAGGGAGCAAACATCTGTTGATACTAATTTGTTGTACACAGGCTGCATTTTAGAGTTTCATAATTATGTTATGAGAAACAAACAGTGCATTTTTTCTTTAATTGAAGAACCTACTGCATCTTAAGGTATACCTATGAGTACACAGATATACAGTGCATCTTGAGTGAACTAATCCATTCAGTTCTGATTTTGCCAAATGTTAGTCAAAACAGTATGGGACTTCAACATCCAGTTGTGACATGAATCCAATTAGTATCCTGATGCTGGGCAGAAGGGTTACAAGCCCATAGTTTGTGTATGTTTTGTAACTAGTTTTCTGGTTTGACTTTAGGAAGAAGTGAGCTAATAAAAAATCCAGTCGGTTTCAGTGGAATACATAGGTACTAAGCAGAGATCAAGCCACATGAGTTTTGCATTTCATAGGTGTTATAGTCTGATATGGTGAATGATTGTCTTATTGTCTTTCATGTGTATCACCTTAGTATTATTAATATACGTCTTATGCAAGGAATACGCAAGGAGTGGAAGGGCTGTAACACTCAAAAAGCTAACACTTCTCTAAATGAGCTGTTCTTTTGTGCAAAGCCCCGCTTTTCCCAGAGCTAACGAGTTTCAGCTTTTTCCTAGTCTGCTAGGGACAAGCTTGCATGTCTCTTGTTACGCGGCAGAAAACTAAAGCCTGTCTGCCAGTTGTTGCCGGTGCCTGCCCATTTGCAGTGCTTTCCTACCAGAGCTGGCACAGGAGAGGAGGGGTGTGCAGCTGGGAGGCACGACATGCACGCTTGTGCTCAGGGCACTGCCTGGTCCCAGGCACTCAGGAGCACAGGCTGGACTTCGTTAGTCCTCCGAAGGGCATGGGCTGATGGAACGGCCCTGCTCTTCCTCCAGCCTTTTGCTGCTTCGGGACCTTTCAGCCTGTTCTGGCCTTGGTGGTTGGTTGCCATCCAAGCCCTGAAGTGTAGCTGCTTGTTCCCATCACCTCTGCCTGTTTGCCCCCTCCATCTCTCTGTAGGGAGCTGAAAAGGATACAGTTTTCTGTCAGCTCCACAATATATCAGTCCTGATGATGGAGGTTTGGGGAAGATTTTAATTAGAGTCAAAGCAGCAGTTCAGGAGCCAATCAAAATAATAATAATAAAATGCCAATTGTTTCTAAAGACTTAACAGTAAATCAAGAATTTCAAGCCTGCTCTTCAACTGCTCTGTTGGAGCGAGCTGTTCATAAATGACCCTTTACTAAGATTTCTTACAGGGAAGCAAAAGGAAAGTGAGAAACTGCCAGTTGAAGCTTTTCATGCTGATCTCATTTTTGTCTTTGAGGCTTAAAATATTCACAAGCACCGAAAGCTGATATTTATGAGTGGAGCTGGGGGAGGGGGGGGGGGGTCACTTAAACAGTTCCTAGCCCATCACCAACATCTCTAGCTGTACTCCACCAGCTCCATGGAGATTCAGTACTCTGATATTTTTAGAAGTAATCGCCTCCATATATTTCAGCATTGTGCATTCTAAAACACATTCTTGCCTTTTACTTTGTTTATAGATTTTTTTAATAGAAATGAACTGTTTTTCCTTGTTTTCCAAGTAGTATTTCTGCAATTCAGTGACAGAAAGTGCTGTTGAACTTGAAAGAACATCACTTTCTGTTAAATCTTTGTTAAATTGTATGCCTGTGTTCTGCTCTTCCTGGAGTACCATAAATCCCACTCATTTTTATGAGGTTCAGTGGATGTAGATACATGCCAAGTATAGAGACAAAGAAAGCACACAGGTGTAACCAAGGATTTGACCTGTGTAATGCAATAGGAAGAAAGCTGTACTCTGCAATCTGAAAAGCACAACATATCTCTTTGGCAGCAGCAGAACTTGAACATCAGCACCTTTGATCTAATGCCACTGAGGCTCAATAAGCCTCAAACACAGTGACCACTTTGGAGGCTTCTACAGAAAACCGCTCTGTAGTGAACACTCGGCTCAGATAACTTTCTCAAATTTTGATGAGTAGAAATACTTTAAAGCTTTCATTCCAAGCCTTGCAATCCAGCCTAGAACTGTTTCTTTTTTCCTCTCCCTTATATTTATAGCCAATTTTCTAGACAACATGCCCTTGCGAAGTTCTGGCAAGTTGAACATGGAGACCAGAAAAGAAGATGGAGAGAGCACAGCACCTGCCCCTCCGCAGAAGAAGCTGTCTTGTCAGTGCCACCACCACTGTCCTGAGGACTCAGTCAACAGCACCTGCAGGTTTGTGGGATATATATATTTGGCGGTGAAACATGGGAAGACGTGTATGTGGTAGCTCAGCAGTCCCAAGCTGGGTGTCGCAGTTTTTTGTTTAAGGAGTAATATGTAAATGAGTTGTTTATACATTGTGTCTAAAAATCGGAGGTAATTTTTACCTAGATACCAGCTACGTATTTAGATTTTTATGCTAGGGTGTTTACATCTTTACAGTTTTTGATAATACTTGCATTAATTCATTGCATATGAAATATTCTGAAGGTAGAAGTTTGTTTTTAAAGGTGCATGCAGTTAATGGGAGGAGACTTAATGGAGATATATTGCTTATAAATTTATAATCACTCTCTACAGAATTGATAAGAACCCTGCTCTTGGTGTGTGTCTTTGCAATAGCTGAGCTATCTTTTGTAGGTCCTCAAGGCATTGGGTTTTTTGTTGCTTCCATGCTAAAAGGAAAGTGATCTTTTTCTTGAGGTGAAGTGTTGAGTATTTTCTTATTCTAGTTACAGTCTTCGGTTTGGTTTTGTGTTTAGAGTACTACAAACTTCTCATTTGGGTTGGATTCTGCTTCCTCAGATCCTTCTGCTTCCCTGGGGGAGAGGCATGTCCAGCTGCGCACAGTTCCCTTGAAGGCTCAGCCTTGGTCTCTGTTGCACTGCCACTAGCAGCAGAGGTGACTGAGGGTACCTGTGGTGGGACCAGGCTCCTGTTCCTCCACTCAAAAGCAGCTCTTGCTGGACAAGTATTATTGCTTTTGAATGAGGATAGTGGTCAAACACCCTTGCCTTGGCTTGAGGTGCACGTACAGTTTGCTTTAGCTGCAGCAAAGTACAGCCAAGCTCTTCATGTTCCACATGAGGAATTCAAACTTTTCTGCTTATTTAGAGCAGGTAGGATACTGGAAGTATTCACCATCAGCTATAGCCTAGTGGAATTGTGGGAATGGGAGAAGTATTGAAGCAGGGCACGAATGTGAGCCCAGTGGAACATGCCAGCTGGGTATGCAGTGCTGTTTGAGGTGAGACAGTCTAACATTGTGTCAGGTCTTCAAGGCAGCACATTAAAAAGATAGGTGGGGAGGGCCTAAGGTTGCTGAAGATGTTGATTGCTTTGTTGGATTTTTGGGTGTTGTTTTGTAGCCTGACTTAATTCTGCTCAGCCTGCAGTTTGACACTGAAGTGTATCAAAGTTTTGATGACAGCTGTAAATCCCATTTCCCCTTTCTATCCTCCTCCTTCAAACCCATGCTCTAGCCAGGAGTTAGACCTAACTGCTCTCACATGGCAGTCAGTTCAAAAAGCTGTAAAAACCCAATCTGATATCAATTTGCAGATCCCCTGCAGCGTGAATCAGCTGTTTCCTGTTCCTGCCCAGCAAGAGCTGCTGCTTTCACACGTGCTGTCTCACACACGCAGTAACAGGGAAGTTGCAGATGACTTTTAAATCTGTGAATTAGGAAGCACAAAGGGATCCATGTTAAGGAGCCTCTTGAACAAGGTTTATACCCCAGCTGGGTAGGCCTGCTGTTGCACATTGCTTCGTAGGCATCATTGACATTAAGTATTTTTCATGTTACCAGAAACTATGAGTGAATGTCCTATTAAAATGGATTTGTGCATTTTCCCTCACTGTGATACTTCAGAGTCCCCTTCATAGTGTCAAATACCAAACTTGGTTTTAGGTGTTAATGCCCAAGGACAGGCAGTTAAGTGGTAATAAAACACATAATTATAACCCCTTTTGTCTTCATATCTTTGCACATTTCGGGCTTGAATGTTCTACTTGAGTGACAAAAATTACTTTTTCCAATTTAGACATTAAAATAATAATTGAAACTGGAATTTACCCATCAAATATTAATCACTTTTCTGTCCAGGAAAATGGAAGCAGTCAAAAGACTTGCATTAGAGCTACTCCTCTTTCCTGTCCTGTGCTGTCACCTCAGCAGTATCCACCTTGCCACTTGCCCAATGAGCAATAGCTGAAGAGTTTGGAGTAATATAAAACAAAAAAAATTAAATTAAATACCCTGCCTTCATGGCTTGTCAGCAAGAATTCTTTTCAGATGGTGATCATTCCTGTGGCTCCCCTTACCTTGGTGTGAGAGCTGTGGTGAGGTAGAAAGGACACAACACCCCTTGTTTTCCCTACATCTTAACTGTAAGTCTGTAATCATTTGCTTCTTAAATTCCCTACTACATAGCAGGCATTACAGATGAAAAGTGAAATGGGATGTTACATAGAGAAGAGGGCCCTAAATCTGCTGTTGGGAAAGAGGAGTTGTTAGGTCTCAGGTTAGCTGGCTGGGTTGAGACCAGGTTTCAAAAGATTTGACCAAGACCAACCAGGTTAGCAGGCATTATTCATTCCCCCTGTGTTTTGGGATAATCCTACTAGTCAGGCAGTAACTTTCATATTTCATCCTAGCTCGAAGGAGTGTTGGCACAGTTTTAAAGCACACAGGAATTCTCATTGAACCTCACTATAAAGGAAGTTTCCCCATATTGAAGTTCAAGCGGTATTGATCGCACTGTGTTTGTCTGAAAAATAAATGAACTGCTCCAGATTAAATGTTATTGGATTAATTATCTGCTTCCCTCAGATGTAGCTGCTGAAAGCCTTTTACATTTTATATTAAAAAAAAGAAATCAAACCTCTAATCAGCTCTATCAGTCTATTAAGCTTTGGGCTATGCTTGGGCCTGCAGAGCTTGGCACTGCCAGCCCTGCAGGGATGAGCCAGCATGTGCTGGGGCACCCAAGGGCCTGGCAAAGCCCCGACACCTGGGAAATTCACTGAGCACACCCATAGTCAGGGCTTGGGCTCTGAAGAGTGACAGGCACTGTCCCTGCCAGGGCTCTCGCCAAAGCAGGGAAGCTTTGTGTGTGCCCAGGAGCAAGGAGGGCTCTGAAAGTTCAGTGGGAAAGCATTTCCAGCTGTGTTTAAATTAAAACTCTCAGAATAGAATAGCTAGTCCTATTGCAATCACCATTAAACATTTCTCATAAAAAGCAGTCTGCAATCCCACCTGAAGATTTTGGTCTGCTACCACAGGTATTTATCTATTGAAGTATAGATCTTGCCTGTAGTACCAGTAGTCTGAATGTTTATATAAAAATGAGGACATCTGGTGGCCATTTAAAATCCTCTCCATAATTGTATTTTTAGAAATTTAAAAGTCAATGTTCTTTAACCACATCTGTATCAAATCCTCTAACAGCCTGCTGTGTTCCTATACAGAATTTCCCTTTCTTTATACTTCTGCAGCTTAAGTCCAGTAATACTTTAGGGAGCTAAGGATAACACTGCAGCTTAAAACGCAGATTGCTTTCTATAGCAACAGAAAAGCAGTAGCTCTAGTTAGAGTGCCCTCTAAAAATCCATGGGGGCAATCCACAAGCACAACAAGTTTTAGAAGACCCATTAAAGGGTCATCTCATCAAGAGAGGGTGAGCATCAGGGAGCAGTGAAAGGGGGCCAAGCCAGGAGCTGAGGGTGATGCTAGGGCCAGCCATATCTTACCCACCAGGACCCCATTTCTCCAAGGGTACCCAAACACAACGGGCTGACATAGGTCCTTGATGGCCCTTCACGTGGCTGGTAGTGATCTCAATACAGGCAGGAGATGAGGCTGGAGGCAGGCACTCCTCTACTATCACTTAGGGAGGGGTTTAATGCTCAGACCTGAGCTTAAATGGAGCAGGGGGGTGTGTATGGGTGGGGGGGTCCCAGGTGGGGCCACTCTGGGCAATTGAAGCTCATTAGCATGTTCAGGGCCCTGGCAATTAAGATCTTTGCAGAAGGTTTGCAATCCTCTGCTTGTAAAGGGTGTGTTAACCAGCAACGTGTTGAAACTTTATTCTTCTTTCTGAACATCTGCGCGATTCATAAAAGGCTTTCAGTAAAGAAGCTCAAAGCTGCTTTGAACACAACCAGGACCTTGTTTTACTGTTCCATTTCAAGTTTTCTGTGTACAAAGTGAATGCATGGACAGTTGTGTCTAATCATAATTAATTGCATATTTTAAAAACTAGTGTTAGATTTAATTAGCTTTGACTGTAATGGGATTGCAGTAAAGGCAGAGGTTGACTGGGTGCATTGTTGTGCTCTATTTTCCATTCATAAATAAATGCTGACAGTTTTAAAGATCCGGCTGATAGAGTTTAATTTCTTACGTGTTGCCTACTGGTCTTGAGTGTGGTTCTGCCCAACTGTGTCTTGAGGTAGCTTGGTTATCTAAAGCAATAAAATAATTAAGTTGCTTTTTCAGTGTTACCAGAGGTAATAATTCACTTGAGTGATGTTATTTTTATTCTCCCGTTTTCCAGATGATAGGATTGAATTTTCTTTGTAATTTGGTATGTAGGAGGAAGAAGACTTCAACCGTGGGCCAAAGCACTGAGTTTAGGCAACTTTTTTTGTAAGCAGCTTTAGTTTTTAGGGTAAGGTTGAACATTTTCTGATAAAGGAGTTATGGTGAGATCTTACAAGTTAGCCTTTCAATTTTTTTAATGTTTATTTTTATTTTTTAATGTAATCCTTTATACAGGGCTGTACCGGAGGCAGTTAAGTCCCCTTTGATGATTAAAACAAAAAAGAGGTCAACAGTGACAAATTCTTGCAAGCTCCAGTCTTTGCTTGCCCCCTCTGCCAGGGCTGAATGTCTCCTATGTGGATCAGCAGGTGACTTCGCCCCAAGTGTTTAAACTAAAATGCAAAGTCCTCCTCCCACACTTTTCAACTGTGCCCCAGAAATTCCTTGTTCTTAGTTTTGTTTAGGGCTTGCCCATTAGATACTTAATATAAACCTTAAACTAAATAGTAATGCAAGTCCAGTCTCCCTATATTGAGACCTGTTGCATTAGTCTCAGATAGTTTTTTAGCATGTGGGAGTACTTTGGTGTTATTGTGCAGAAAGTGCTGGGATACCTAAGACTTCCCTTGCATATTGAATTTACTTATACCAAAAAAATTCCAAACCAGCAAATATCCGTGTTAAGTGTATCCTAGCATTAAAGAAGAAGCTACATCATAGAAATTCAACTGCAAGTGTAATCTTAAGGTCAAGTAAAAGAAAACATTTAGTCTGTGTTTAAATTTTGGAGACAAAAGAAAGGAATAAAAGAAAAAGGGAAAATGAAAAGAGGAAGATGAGTAGCTTTATTTTGACTATTTGCTTCTTGATAGTTCTTACATCTACTGAGACGGATTTTGCACATAAGTGAAAGGTGCTAGAGAGCCCTGGTGAAAATGAAGAGGTACCCATGCTTGGTGCTATTGCCATACCCCAAGTTGGGCTATCAGGTGTATAGACCTGTCAGGTCTCATATACTCAGCATGAAGCCTGGATGGTTTCTAGGGCTCTCCCTCACAGATTGGCATAATGGCTTCTTTTCTGTGTTGTGACTCCACGTGTCAGGGAGAACTAGTTGATCTGTTTTGTGATTTAGTAGAACAATGCAAGACACATTTGGTGGCCTGGGTCATTTCTCAGTCCTGGTAGAATAGTCCAGGCAGGTAGTATAGAGAAAATACTGATGGATAGACCTACATGTGATATATGAAAAGATGCTCTGCTAGGATGTGTTGGGTACCCTCCTTTCTCTCTGCGTGTAGGGTCATTGTTGAGCACCCAGAGAGCCAAAAGGTAGCATACACAGCAGAGCGTATGTGGTAGGACCAGCATCACCGTCTTGGAGACTAGTGTGGCCACAAACTGTGGCCTGCTGTGAGCCAGCTTCTTTGCTTTGTTACACCTGTATGTCTCTCCTTGCCTTCAGAGTAGCTCTGCAAACATCTGAAGGTGCATCTGGCTCAACAACTGTGTAATGCTCTTCTCACTTGGTTTCATGTTACTTCCCTGATGCACAGCCACTAGCTGTATTATTTTTCTGAAAAATTAGCCTGTGTTGAACACATTTACAGTGACTCTTTGTTTAATGGATAGTGTCGAAAGGCAGTGTTTTGCTAAATTTGGCCTTTGTCATCTTCCTTAAGAACGCGACAAAATACGTGAATTAGATGCGATTTGGGAGTCAGCCAGTTTTTGAATTAGATCATTTCAGCCAGTCTTTACAGAAGGATATGAACTTCCCAGTTTCTGTACATAATGTAACAATTTTTGATCATTTTTAAAAACAGTGCAGAAACTTGTCATGTTGCTTTCAATAGAGGTGAAAAGATGCGGTAGCTCTTTCTGATATCAAAACCAGGAGTAGAAAGAGGAGGAATGGATAAAAATAATAATACTCATATGGACTCAACTGCAAATAAAATTAAAGATAAGGAATCTTTTCATCAAGTTATTTAACCCATCTGTTTGTGATAGGCACTGAATGGGGGAAAGACGTTGCATTTCCAAGTTACATATTGCCATCCCCGGCTGCATCACACACACAGAGAGCAGGACAGGAAATCTTCAGCAGTCAAGTTTTGGTAGCTGAGGTATCGCATCTTCTGTAAGAAATGGCTGTTAGCCAGTGAGGACATCTGTGTGAGCAGCTGCAAAGCTGTTGGCCTCTGTTCCTCTCTTCTGACATTTAGTAAAGGTCTCAGTTAAGATCACCTCTTTCTTTCTGGTAATCTGTAATTGTAGCAGCACCTTCTACATCAGTGTCTGTCAGTGTTTCCGCTATTAACTCCCTCTATTTTCCTGGCATTTGACTTGGCTGTAAAAATTCACTCTTGGCAAATGTATGACATACCAAATCTGTGCTTATTAGTGATCACATCCAAAATGTATTTAATTGCTCTCCCGCACCATAGTCTAATAAGAGGATGCTTTAGTGGAGGAGGTTAGTGGATGTGTACCTGGATGTATTCAGTAATATCAGGTTGAGTTCCTTCTTTACACAGCATTCGCAGAATCAAATTACACAGAATTCAAATTACAGAGTTTAAGAAAATAATAGTCCTATACCACAAATTTTTGCTAGGAAGTGGAGAATAGGTTTTTCATATTGCTTTGCATGTATCAGGGACGTACATATGTTTCTATTTGTGCAGTCACCAAAATAAACATAAAATTGGAGGCGTTGTAGACTTATCTGACTTGTTTCTGACTTGTTACAACAGTAAGAACAGTTTCATTTCTACCATAGGCAGGTATGAGGTAGGGTAGTCAATCAAAGAGCAGGGGTATGCCCTGCCCTTTACTTGCAGTGTGTGGTCCATCTGACATCCTGTGAACCAGGAGAAGAGGTTGGGGGTGGGAGGGGGGAAGCAGGTAAGAGATACTGCATTCTTTTCAGAAGTCACTTTTACCCCTTGCCCAAACACCTGAGAAATTTTCAATAAGATAATGAGTTCTTACATTGCATGAAAACTTTTCGTTTTACTTTTCTTAGAGGTAGAAACAAGCAGTACCAATGTTTATTCTGCTCAGCATTGCTATTTTTAGTTATCTCTCACTTTTCCTTCATTACTCTACCGTTGTCTGTAAAGAGCATGATTTATCCTTATTCTTGGAGCTTTATAACTTTTCCATTTTGCTCTATCCAATCTAATTTTGTCTTTTTAAATTTGGATTAAAATTTTCAGAGGGACTGAAGTGCTTGAGGAGCCTGAATTTAATTTTCAGAAATGAGCTAAGAATCAGAGTCCCATGGCAAGTCAGAAAAAAAAGAAATAAACCTGCTGACTTTCCTCCTTCCTTTTTCCCTTTTGCAAACAACTTGACTTTTCCTTCCCCTGCTTTCCTTTGGTGAACTGAGCGTTTTGTTTTTTGCTGGGGACTGTTAGTTGTAGAGTTCATTTTTGTGTTTCACTTGATTGCAATTTATTGTTTTGTTGCTCTGTCCCCTGGGTTAAACTTACTCATTGCTTTGAATCAAAGGCACCATGCAAACAAATAAAATCTAACCTAATATAATATTCTACTCTAATGGATTCCTTACAGTCTCTCTTCTTGGCAATCCTATTGTTCCTATCTTTTAAGCTTAAGCAATGAAATCAAGGTGGTTGTTGCCCAAAAGGGTTGCTGTCTCCTTTGCCTTACTCGTATGTACAATGTCAAAGAAGGGTAGAAGTCATTGCTTGCTTCTCCGAGAAAGTAATTTGTAATGTGCAACTGGTTACTTTTCAAATCCAGAAGTCAATAACCCATGATAGATTATTATTGGAAGTAATAAGCTTACTGTGGCTAGACCCTGCACCACTAATATAAAAATATGCCACAGCAAATGTTTGACATGATCCTATCCAGCATCTCTCCGTCGTGTAGCTAATACTTACAAATTGTGTTTCTCTCTTACATGTGTAACTGTGCCTCTTGCTTCCTATGTCTTCATTGCCTTTGCTATTGTTGCTCTGTTAGACTCTCCTTTGATTCAAGTAAGGAGCAAATAATCTGAAATTTTGCTGCGTTTAAATTTTGTAATCATTTTTCCTTTTTATTTCCTTGTTTTAACTGAGTTTGTTTCTTCTCTTCTGAAAAATGTTCATTGCACATAATAACCAGTGTTATTTTCCTGAGGAAATAACAAAATGCTTTATTTCTATGTGACTTAAACTCTTTCATCTAAGACATTTTTTCTTTATTTTTGGATCCTCTTCCTGCAAATCAGTCAATTTGTGTTTCTTACACACGCTATGTATCTCCCTCAGAGTGCTGAGAAATTAATGTACAGCAGTCTCAGTAAAATGCAGCCACCATTTTCATGCCCTCCTCCCCCTCTTTCCGTAGCATTCAGGCATTTGACCTTCATCGAGGAAGGACGTTTATCACCAGCACCATCTAGCCATCTGTTAGTATACTTGTCCTCCCTGGTGCACGTTCTTGTAAACGGAAGCATTATGGATCACTTTAGGCTTATAACCCAAGTAAACAGTTATGAAGGGTGTTGATGATAACTCAAGGACTCATACACAAGAGTGTTGCAGTTTGTAATATGGTTAAAACAAGAATCACAAATCACTCTTAATAATATTTCACGTTTAGTATCTCAAAAATGTTTCTTTCTTTAGGTCTTCACCATGGTGCAAATATCCATGCCTTGTTCCCACACACAAGGCAGACCTGCTGTAGCATTGACGCTTGCATTTATATAGGTCTCCAAAGTCTTAGCACACTAATGATCATAGGCAGAGAATGTTGAGATGTTTGTTAGCGGGGTTTATAGCTGTGATATGTTGGAAAGGTAAGTGTGCCAGCTGCAAGGCAGAGCCTCCTCTGTGTGTGCAAGAGCTGGTCTGCAGCACTGTTGGCTGTTGGACTGTGTTGCGAGAGGTTGCCTTGGGTTCCTGAATCTTCCAGCCTGCCTTAGTGCATCAGTTTGTTAATGGCAGATTTGTCTTGCAAGGAACAAAGTTTAAGACTGTATTTAGCAGCACATTTTTCACTTCAAAGCCTTTTCCTGATTCATTCTTTCCAATCCTCAGCACTGATGGCTACTGCTTCACCATAATAGAAGAAGATGAGTCCGGTGGACATTTAGTCACCAAGGGATGTCTTGGATTAGAGGGCTCGGACTTCCAGTGTCGGGTAAGAACTCATTTGCTGCCATAGGGTCGCTTGGCTCTTTGATAGCTTTCAATTGAAGTGCAGTCAACAGACATTGCTATGTCCATGTTTTCACTTCTGTTCGTTTGGCAGATAGTTGCTTCGCCTTGATTGCTGAGGGGAGTGCATTTATATCCCCGAATGGCGATATTATAGCTTCTCCTAACAATAACTTAAGTTTTTGGTTTTGGCACTGCTGTTAGTAGTAACACTCCCACTCGGAGGAAGTTTGAATTTAGAGAAATGCAGTCTAATTCCTGAAGTCTTCACAGTAGCTAAAGTTAGTTAGGATGTTACTTGATGGATCGCAGCAACCTTTATGTCTTACATGCAGTTGCACTTTGTTTTTGGATTTCTGGTGCCAGAAATTCGCTTCAAGTAGTACAGTGATCTCCTGATGGAGAGCAAATCTCACTGCAGGAATGGAAGGGGTATGGGCAATGGAGCAAGGTGTCTGTAACGTGTTTGCCTTTCCCAATGTTAACCTTAAATGATTTTACATGAGTACACGAACAGTCTAACCATCGAGGTCCATGGAAGGTATTCTACCCAGCTTCCCAGGAGAGTGGAAGCAGCAGCTAAATTAGTCTGCACAGCAACTCCTGTATTATTCTGGCTAAACGGTTTTGAATACCCACTTATTTTTGTAGTGTAAGTCTAACTGGGGGATGTATGTGACTTTCACAGTTCTGTCTTGCACCATTAGAGTCAATCAGTCCTTTCTGCAGCACTAGGGCACCAGTAGAAATACATTAGGAACGGTTTCATCTCTTAATTGTCTGGATGAAACGTTGCTGGATATGGTCAGTAGCAGAAATCCTTACTCCACACATCCTAGAAGTCTGTAACAGACTGTAGTCCAGCTAACAAGTGCATCTTTCTTTCAAGTGCCAGAATGACAGTGTATATTTACAACACAGATATTTCATTTGCTTTCTATCAAACTGTTTGTTGCAGGACACTCCTATTCCACACCAAAGAAGATCTATTGAATGTTGCACAGGCCAAGATTACTGTAACAAACACCTTCACCCTACGCTGCCACCACTGAAAAATAGAGGTAAGGGGAAGTAAATCCAGTCCCAAACTGATCTTTTCCTGCTGTTGCTCTTTGTGCCTTAGGAAGAAACAAAGCCAAAGCCAAAGCACCTCCCTCAAGCTGTGTGTGATTAGAGAGATAAACTGCATTAAACAGTATCACTGAATTCCTATAGATCATGATCATATGGGAAGCAGTGCCTTGACCCATGGTCACTGATACTTGCTATTATTCCTATTGCATACATGCCATGAGCACCAGATGCATTAGAGTCGCACGATATTGTCCTAGCACAGACCTGCTGGCTATCAGTGGTCATCCTAAAGACTTAGGTTAGTCGTGGCAGAGGATGCCTCTTGCTGTGTATGTTTTTAGCCTGATAATAAAATTGAATCCTCTTTCTAGTCCCTGCAATCTGCATTACTATTGTTCATAACTCTACACACATCTGGGACCAGATCTGCAGTGGTTAATCAGTCAGTTCAAGTTGTCTGAAGTCCATTAAGCTTTTTTTATTTAAAAGACCTCATCATCCAGCACTAGGACAATAACTAGTCACTAAAGCGGATTTTCTACTTGAAAAATGTAGCTGAAAATAGAATGTAGAGATGTAGAGTAAGAACTCATGCACTGATTTCTTTTTTTTATTTGTTATTTGAGAATAAGTGGACATTTATTAACTTAGTAGATTCTGGGGCAAGGTTTTAGGTTTTGGTTTGTTTCTTTCTTTCTTTAAACATCACTTTCTGAAACTTGGTAGAGCTATTTTGGCTGGATGTTGCAGAATACATTTTATAGGAATGTATTCCTAAGAAAGTGTAAATTTGTTTATGATAAACTCTTGGCATTGGCAGCAATGGCCAAGATTTGTGGTGGTCAGCATGGAGTTTAGTCTCCGAGAGTCAGCTCAAGGTTACAGGAGAATTTGTAATCATGGCGTTCTGAACTGAAAATCCAGGTCACTGTGCAGAAGCACTCTTAATTACGCAAACAGCAGATACTTACACAAATGCATGCTCAGAGAAAGCCTTCACTCATGTAAGCTGTTCCCTTCACGCCTATGAAATTCTGCACAGATGGGCTGCAGAATCAGGCCTATGGAGAGTAATATGTAAATATTTCACTGTTTACTAGCAAGCCATTAAGTCAGCGAAACCTCATAAAATTCTGACTTCCAACATAAGAGTTATGTACTACTTTGTTGTTTTTTTAATTTTAAAAAGTTCTTTGGACTGAGAGAGAAGCTCCAAAAGGAAGTCAATATCTGTTCATGCTGACTTAGTGTATCAATAAATATCACTTCAGTTTGGAAAATCTGCCATGATTTCTTCTTGATGCTGACTGAGGTTATTCTACATTAAAACTACTTAAAAATACTGAACCAATGCCTAACACTAGACATCTGCCTTATTAAGATTTTTGTTATTTGGGGATACTATCTGCTGCTTATACAGAAAGCAATAAAACAAGCTTTTGGTAGTGGCAGAAGTTGTTTGGACTGATATTGGGTTTTCTCTGTGTGTATATGGGGTAAACAAAACATCACTTGGGCACCATGGTGGCAGACCCATTAAATAGCAGAGAGAATATTTGTTGAAAGGAAAAATTTCATAGAGTTGGAACAGGATTCTAGCTGCTCTGTGTTGCAAAGTTATCTATTTTAGCGTGACAAACAAAAGGCGATGTATTCACTTGACATATTCTGAAGACTTTTGTTTGAATCGAATAAACGTCTCGCACTACTGGTATCCTGATAGTATCTTGTGGGAATAAATTTCAGGAGCTGCTTCATTAAATGTGGCTGGACAGGGCTGAAGTCAGCACCTTTATGGAAGCCTTAAGTAAATACATCATTCTTGGTGCCAGGCCTGTTTTAATTTGTTGTTGCTGTATCCTAGTATGAAAGCTCAGAGAAAAGCCGTAATTTGAACTGTAGATCCTCACTGCAACCAGGTACAGATACTGTATGCAAATACACGCTACCGCCAGTGCCCAGTACTATGGCTGTGATCATTTTTTCTATTGGAAACATTTAGATTAGGCTGTGATTGACTGAGTACTGGTAGAATTGTATATCAAATTTAACATAAACTGTAAGTACAAACAAAGAGAAAATGAACTTAAAACCAACCTTCTAGGAACAACCTTCTGACCTCTAGGATTCCATGAAAAATATGTATGTTCCTCAGCATTTAGAAAACAAATAGAAATTTGGCTTCTGATGAACTTATGTCCGAGGCCATATCTCACGGGAAACAGAGTCTAGGGAGAGTGTCCAGCTGCAGGTCAGAGGTTGTTGAACTGCAAATTAACCTATGCACCAAGGTAATATCTATGAAGGCAAGTGACTTGTGTTCTCAAAGTGCTTTTCCATTCCTGGCATGTGCTGGAAAGTGGGTTTTATCCCCCCCACTCCCTCCAAAAAAGAAAGGAGGGCCACATACGTGAAAGGGGAAGCTGGAAGAAGTAACACTGGTCAAAGCAAGGCTTGTTGAGCAAGATGGAAGAAACAACAGCTAAGCCTAGGTTTTGAGCTGATCTCAGTACAGAACTAGCAGGATAAATACCCTAGAGAAACCATGAAGTCCTCGTCCCAGCTGTACATCTGTCTTATTAAGGAAATGAGAGTCACGATTGGATCTGATACAACACCTCTGCTTTAAACAATAAAAGATATTCCTGGAAATCGCAGCGAAAGAGCAGGCTGAGACCAGTCAAGAGGAGAAATATGTCTTTACTGATTTAGAGCCTATATAAGCAGAAGTGGTGGTGCCACCGTGTCTGGCTCCCTGCCTGTAGAGCTAGTGATGAATGGGCAAGGGAATGATTGGAGGAATGATGGGGTTTGATGTGTGCACACAGTCTCCACGCCTCAGATTTCACTGCAGTTTTTACTTGGATAACCGTAACACTGTGAACTGAAGGGACCTGAGGAGGGAGGAGAACCTCCTCTCCCTTTGATATGCTGACTTGTCCCTTGAACCTGCTGGGTGGCATTTTCAATGCACTCCTCAGCACGGTCCTGTGGATGGCAGAGTGAGGGGAACGAGTGGTGGAGGAGGGGGGGAACTGCAGGAAAATAACTGAGAGGCAGCTTAGTATCACCAAAGACCCTCCTTTTGTTGCCATCTGTCCCTTTGTGCTGCTCACCACTGACACCAGCAGCACCACTGTTTTCATACAACAAAACTGTTAACGTGCTGTTTGCTGGGCTTCGCTATTATCGACCAGCCGAGGTATGTGAAGAAGTTTCCCAAACCTCCCGCATGTTTGTTTTGCGCTCCCCACACCGTGCTCCTGGTAATCGCTCACTGCTGCCTCTGCGGAAGCTACTGCTTATTCTCAGCACCCAACTGCTTGGCATGTTGCAGTTGCCAAGTAACATAACACTAAAAAGCACGGGACTGGACTTCTTAAAGGACAGAGTATCTCCATCACGCAAACTGGCACCGACTGGTACCCACCACAGTCTTCGCCACGGAGCCCACGAGCCAGTGGTTAAGCGGACTCTCAGCTGAGCTGCCCCATCCCTCTGCCTGGTCAAGGAGGTGCCAAAAATGGAGCAGGGAAAGGGAGGTTTGTCCTGCTGTGCTGTGGGGAACAGCCTGGGCTGCAGGAGGAGAAAAGAGTTGGTTTCCAGCAGCACCAGCCTGGCTCAGCAGAACAAATGGACATTGCTGGTATAAGAATGGGGCCATGCTTTTAATCTTGTGTTGTCCACGAGCCAGCAGGTTTATGAAGTCCTCAAATGAGCAAGCAAATGAAATTCTGCCAAAATGCTTTGAAAATACAGGAAGTATTTGAAAGGTGAGACAATAGCTCACTTATCGTCAGTATTGCCTCTCATAAATAAAATAGCCAAAAAAATATAAAGACATATGGAAGTTATTCTCTTCTCCTGTGAGAGCCAGTTGCATGCCCGTGCTGTGCATAGTGAACCACTACTTAAGCTATGTTAGCTGATCCTGCCAGCATGGGGGACATCACCTACTGCAAGAGCATAAGCATCGCTGCTGTTGCAGTCTGCATCAGCTGCTCCCAGCACCGAGATCAAGACACGTTCCTTTATGTCTTGCATGCTTTCCTTGCACTTGCTTCACATAATTGCATTGGGGTACCAAAAATTTTTGCATTGTTGGAGTCTGAAGTTTGTTTGAGAGCTACACAGCACTTCCAAAATACCTTCTGGCCTCTGGGAAAATGAAACTGCATTTATTTACTTTTCTGAATGGGAGAAGCCTGTTAGAAACATTGAGCACAGGGCCTGGATCATTTAAAATTATTGGAATTTGGTTAAGATTTCAGCATATTTGTCACCCCTCTCCCAAATGCACGTACTCGAATGCACACAGACAGCATGAGCAGTGGGTGCTTTACAAGTTCTGGTAGTGCAACACTTGGTGCCTGTGTAAATGTGCAAACTTCCATGGCTTTGCTCTCTGACATATATGAGTATGAGCAGGGTCTGAATTGCTCCCTCTGCATCTGACATCAACATTCATTACTGCTAAGCACAAAAGCCCAACTTCCATTGTGGCTTATTCTGTGAAGTGGGAAAACCCTTGCTGTGGACAGATATTCAGGTTTCTCCCAAGTATAAAAATCCCACTTTATGGTCTGTGTGCCCTATTTATCCTCTCCTCAGCTGATGGGCTGCGACATCTTAAGCTGTTACATACCATGCATTTTAGAGGGAAATGGCTGGCCGACACAGGCTGCTTACAAAGCATGAACTAGAGCTCTTAGCCCTGCTGAGCAGCCGTCGCTGTCGCGAGAGAGGTCTGGATTCCCCGGTGGGCTCTCAGTTTCGGCTCACAGCCCACTTGGAGTGGCAGGCCAGGCAGAAATCTGCTGTGGCAGGGAGAATGATGGGCTCCAGTGTTTTCCTGATAGACATCGTGTCAGTGTCCCCTTTCAAAGGCATTGGCCATGTCTTGAGTGTTTACATTGTTAATGCTCCTGGAGCAGGTAATGGCAGGTTAAAACATGACCGGTGTGATCAAAAGGTGCGTTGGTTGGTAATCTCTGTTTGTAGTGGAAAGGGGAAGGAAAGAAATAGTTTGGGGGCAAAAACAGAAGGGGAAACTGGATCTTTAAACTAAAAGAGCCTGACAGTAAACCAAGAGTCCCTTAGGAATCTCCTTGTCTCATTACCCTTGTAAATCTGAAACGTAATAGCACCGTTCCAGGATGAGTCGATACGGGTAGTTTTCTTGCATTTTACAATGTGTTTGGCATTAGTGTGAAAGATGCAAGATAGCCAGGCAGGGAGAGCCTCAGAAAACATAGTGCTCATTTGCATTATACCAGATAGCGACTCTGAGAGGGTGGTGTGTGTGTCTGCATGCTGAAATACCATAATTTTGAGACTTTGGGGGTTAGGGGAGGTTAAAGAAAAATAGTGCTTGGTTTCTTTGTTTTCAGCAGAGGAGCATGCATGAAGGCCGGACTCGCTTGCCTGAGTTGAGAATACACATTTGGAGATTAATGGTACGCCTTGAAGGAGAATATGAGTCTCCCATGCAAAGATTGACTGAAACATTTTAAAGGTTTCTACAAATTATTTGACACATTTCATTTTCAAAGTGTTTTACAGAACAGCTGCTGGAAGGATAGTGTTGCCCACCATCATAGGAAGGACTTGCTGGCACACAGGGCTGCTATAGAGAGAATGGAGGAGAAAATTCCTGCTCAGGTGTTTAAACCAGGATCCGAGAGACTGATTATTCTGCAGTGATAGAAATATACCTTCAAGGCCTTTAGTGACCCGCCTTCCTGGGGGTTGGATGGTCCGCTGTGTCTTCCCTCCTAGGATAAATGCAGTACTTCATTATTTTATATTAACTGCTCGATAGGACACTACTTAATAAGAGTGATTTAAGATAGAGGCAGTAATTTTTCTATGTCCTGGCTGATCACTTAGGTTAAGACACAGAGCTACGGGTCTTAATTGATTTTTCATTCAGAGCCAAAGAGGGGATTGCAAATCAAGGCAATGTTTCGCCTGAGTGAGGGCTGAAAACTCAAGTGAGCTTTTGGAGGTGCCGGTTCTGCCCTGGTCAGTGAGGGTCAAAGAGGAAGCACGCAAAATGCCTGGGGAATCCAGGGGTATCTTGCACAGGACTTCAGTAGAAAAGAAAGGACATGAACTTGTGCTCGCGGCACTTTTTAAGGCGTGTGTGTCTTGATACTGACTTTGTACCTCCCTTTCCAAATTTTCCACCTTCCTTGTTTTTAACCCCAGACTTTGCTGAAGGAAACATTCACCATAAGGCCCTGCTGATCTCAGTGACTGTTTGCAGCATACTTCTGGTGCTTATCATCATATTCTGCTACTTCAGGTAAATAAGGAATACGTTACCAGCTTGTTAATAATCCTCCCAACATTTATCTTTTTATAGACTTAGGAATTTGAAAAAAATTGAAGGGGACCTCGTGGAAAAGAAATGAGAAACTGTAATTTTATGATGAGGAAAAATGTGTATTTTGTTCATGCTAGTCACAGGTATACCTGTGTGATGTATTTCATATGGCATCTTTTGTCCAACATGCTAAAAAGCCATTCAGGTAGAAACACAGATTATGCTTTACTGAGACTAAGAAAGCCACAGGACAAATTTTATATCGGGTAAATAAACCTAAGGCTTCTGAATGCGTTTATGTGGTGAAGAACTGATCATAAAAAAGAGAGGGATACAGGAATGTGAGTAAATGTGCCTAGAATGTTATCATAATCTACATACATTGCATTTAAATAATTTGTCACATTTTTCAAATAGTCCCAGGTCCCATGACCCTACCTCCTCTGGCTCCTAAAAGAACCACTGCAGTCAGTAAAATAAAACTGTGTATTTGCTTGGTCTGGGTTTTA